GAAAAGGAACAAATGTTAGTCTGCCCGAATGGGGGCATGACTCAATTTATGCCAATTCAAATGCAAGACAATTGAAATGAAATAAAACGAACGAACGAACCAGCGAACGACATTATCAAACGAATTGTACAACAAATTGTATAAATAAAGTAAAACCGAGCAATTTAACAAACGATATGCTAATAAAGAAGCAGCAGAGAGACATAACAAATGCCGAACGAAACGAAAATGCATGCAATGCGATTTTGCCATTTGGAAAATCCTGCAGACGAGAAGCGGCGAAAACAAACACAACGCCCGGAAACATATGAGAAGATTATGCAACCAACCATGTTCCAGTTACAAAAACTACAACAAAATATGCTAATTGGAAACGGCACAGTGAAATTGTAAGCTAGAATATTATAACGTTTAGATTGTTGATGTTTGTCCTCCATGTTCATGCCATAGAATGTCCCAGTAGGAAAATTATCGACGGACGAACCATTCCAGTTCAGGCATTTTAATTGAATTTTTTTGATTTCCTCAAATGTTGATACATCGGGCTGCTTAAGGGGCTATCAGATGTAACTTGTCTTACATATCTACATTTTCGATAAGAGAGTTTTTAGAACATTTTGGCGGCTAAAATTTGAAATCGAATATAGCTAATCAATATATGAGATTTATATATTAATATGAAACGATTATCACTAAATGACAATGCATAGGAAAACTTGGAAAATGTATAAGCCAATAATCCATATAAAGGCTGAGGTAAGCTCAGTCGCTCCCAAGGAGGACGACAAACGCTTGAGTAAAACATGAGTGTATTATAAGCGCTAGCTAGCGTTTTGGTATAGTATGCATATAACGGTACCTCTCGATATTCGGTATTTTGATGATTTATGCCACATTTTTTTCACGGATTTGTTTAAAAATTCGTATTTGTTAGTCATAACGGGTCTTAGCTCGTATGGCAGAACATTCTACGTATAGGTCCACGTTTTTGCATAGCCCCACATAACGGTGACTACCGGTATTCGGTATTTTGATGATTATTGCCACCTTTTTTCGCCGATTTGTCTGAAAATTGGTAATTGTGGGTCAATATGCGTTGTAGCTCGTATGGCAGAACATTGTATGTATAAGTCCACTTGTTGGTATAGCCCCCATATAACGGTACCTTCCAATATTCGGTATTTTGATGATTTTTGCCACATATTTTAACGGATTTGTCCAGAAGTTGATATTTTTAGTTCGTAATGGGTTCTTGTTCGTGTGCGAAAAATTATATGTGTAAGTCCACGTTTCGGTATAGCCCCCATATAACAATACCTGCCGATATTCGATATTTTAATAAAAATGGGTATATTTAGTTCATATGAATAGTTAGTTCAATGAATATTAAGTTCCACGTTTTCCTATATCGCACAAATAACGACATCCACCGATATTCAGTGTTTTGACAATCATAGTCATATTTACCCACATACTTGTGTCAAATTTGGTTTTTTAGAAGATTTGATAGATGACAATCCTCGAAGTATAAAAATGTCTATAGAATTTCTTGTTTTAGTATGGCTCCATATAACGGCCGGCTCACTTTATGGTTTTTTGATAAGTTTAACTGCATTATCCAATCGGTCTTATTGGTATATGAAGCTTAAAGCGAAACACGCTTGAATTCTGGTACTTTTATATAAAAATGTTTCGTTTCCCCAAGGTGGAGGGTATTAAAAGTTTGTGATCAACTTGTAACGGGACTGCAGACGATGCCACTCCTGTTCGTACTTTGTCGGCTATTGATCGATATCTTCTGTGGATAAAAACAGAATATATATTCGGGTAGTCATGTGAAGTGAATGAGAATTATTATTAAAGAGAAATTTAGTTGACTACTTTGAGGCTAGGATATGCTACGACAATTGAGTTTGTGCTATATGTAAAATGCAGCGTTCGAAAATAAACTGTACACTAACATAGTGTACTGTACCGATACAGTATCATTAAAAAAATTTTTAGCGGTAGTGTACCGGTACACTACCACTAAAAAATATTTTAGTGATACTGTTCCGGAACACAACGATAATCGTACTGTACCGCAGTCGGAGCACTAAAAAATCGTAGTGTTCCGCAGTCGGAGCACTAAAAAATCGTAGTGTTCCGGAGTCGGAGCACTAAAAAACGTAGTGTTCCGCAATCGGAGCACTAAAAACTCGTATTGTACCACATGCACCACATTATGACTTGGGAAAATAATATTAAATGTTTGATTTTTTTGATTTTTTTGTATATGGCATTGTAAATTAATAAAATGATTATAATAAAAGAAATTAATGATAATCCGACTTTGCTAAATTACACAAAATTCGATGTTAGTATCACTCTTTCTTCAATTTCGCAAAAAGATAAATCCAGCATTTATTTTTATAATATTGAATTGTATTTTTTAATTTTGCATTATCAAAAATATCAAACATTCAATATTTCACCAAATCGTAAACAACACACATGTGGTACACTACCGGTACATTATTTTTTTAATGTTCCACCATGTGGTAAACTACGATTTTGTAGTGCTCCGACTGCGGAACACTACGATTTTGTAGTGCTCCGACTGCGGAACACTACGATTTTTAGTGCTCCGACTGCGGTACAGTACGATTATCGTTGTGCTCCGGTACAGTATCACTAAAATATTTTTTAAGGGTTGTGTTCCGGTACGGTACACTATCGTAGTGTACCACTCCACCTCGGTACGGTACAGAACACTATGGTACTGTACCATAATGTTTATTTTCGAACGCTGGTAAAATGTGACTTGAAATTGATATAAGGGTTGTATGAAACAGTCACTTACAAACTAGTTTATGCATTAACGAAAAGGTTTAAAATACTAGATTATTCCTCAAAAAATTACGAATCAATCTAAATTAGTTTTCTCACTACCAAATAACGAGTATTATTTTCACTGATTATACTCGTCCGACTTCAAAAGTGAAAAAATAATAAAAATGCATTTAAGTTCTTCCCATTCGAATTTTAAAATCATCCACCATTTGGAAGGTAATTGAAAAATATAAGCAAAATCCTTTGAAAAATACCGCTATAATTTAAATAATTCCGAATATCTGGTATAACACACCTGTAATCTACCATAGCATATCATTGTATCTTATTAGAAAATGAATGAAACATATGTATGGGAGCCATAGGAATATCTATTTCGATTTGTTCCAAATTTCGCAGACTTTATTCTAATCGAAACATGATCGTATGATTTAAAATTATTAACATAAATTGTACTGATTTCGAAAAATTTTATATTTTATAAGTTTTGTCTCAATCTGACAATAAATGTGACGAGTATTGTGATTGAAAAAATATGTTGACAAACGGACGGACCTGCACAAATTGACTATGAATGTGATTTTATGAAGATAATCTCATTTCCTTTTGCATATTGTATACAAATGCAAAAATACATACAATCCTGTACCACAGTGTGGTGTGGGGTATAAAAAGTACAGACTACAGGTCACAATATATTAACTTCAAGCTTGAACTTCAGAAAGGAATAAAATAATTTTCCACATTCATATTGACATTGGTCCATATTTAGTGATGTTGTTTTAAGGGCTGAAAAATCCTTCAAGCCTAATAAAAAATTTATTAGCAAACTTAATGGGAGAACATTGGATCCAACATACCGTCTTATACTTTCAGCTTCATCGAACCATATTCAATAATTCATAGCTTTCAATTGAGTATTGAAAGTTTATATAAAATAAATATATGTTCTCAACAATTCTTTAAATAATTTTAACCATCTTTCAATAATGGAGACTAAAATTGCTTTAATTGCACTCATAGTTTACCAACGGCGGGGCGACACCAAACAAACACTCTTTGTTAGACAAACTCAAAACAATGGAGAGCGAGAGGCTAAAATGAATTAGTAGCAACATTGAACACCAGCGATTTGCATAGATTAAACGGTAATCGCCGCAAATCGACATCGCTTATTTGGTGTTGAAATATTGACGACTTTTATTGCCGCCACTTCTTCTGACACATTTTTCTTGTTTTTGGTTTTTATCTATTATTTCCATTGTTATTAACGGCATTCGGTCGGTGGCTGCTTACACTGGCCAAAAGCAAAAAAAGCCAAACACGAAAAAATGCGCTTTGACCACAGAGCAACATTTGCATGGCTGAGCAGTTAAAATTGATTTGAATTTGCATTTTCGGTTTCTGTGCTGCTTTTTGGCATAAAAACGAACATAAAAAGCTTTGCATATTTAAGTTTTTTTTTCCGTGTGTTTAATGCAAATTGAAAATATGCATTGACCAATCTTGTCCGCGTTAACAAAAAAATATAAAATTCAAATCGAGAAAAACCAATAAAATGTCCGATTGTGAGGCGCAGCGTTAAACCAATAGCAGGGAAAATAAAAATTAAAAAAAAAAAATTGCAAGATTTTGCACACAAAAAATCCAACTCTACTCCGACGTTGTATGATGGATGGGAATGTGGAAAAAAAGAATCCGATATTTCTGTGCGCCCAGAACATATGACATTTAGACACAATTTTATGCCAATTGATCACAAACAAATGTTGGCGGAGTAGCACGGGTTTATTTTTAATTTTCAATATAAAAAACGCTTATCGTTGGAGACCATAGATATTTATGGGGGAAATGAATATTTAAAAGTTATGAAATCATTTTAAGTCTCGCCTTGATTTAATTGCATATAACTGCATGATTTCCCCTCTGGGGGAAGATTTCAGATATTTTGAAAAAATAACTATTCGAAGATAGGAGTGGCAACATTTATTTCAGTACATTGATATTTTTCGTAGTTATAGTTTTATGGAAACATCCAACTTCTACTAGGCATCTGTTTTTATTTTTTTCTTCATGCATTTTGTAATACATTAAAACATAAACTACACATATAGATTTATACTATATCAACTATTTATTCAATTTCTATTGACATTCCAATATTGCAGATATTCGCCGCTAACTCCACCGACTAGAAATTGGTTTCCTGTTAAAGGAGTTTCAATTGCTGCCGGCTCCTCTCACTGCAATCAATTCATTTGTGAGGTAGAATTGGAGAAACTAAGTCCACAGTCCTCCGGATCATATCGCTGTGAAGTCTCTGGTGATTCACCAGAATTCAAATTAATTGGAGAATCGTCAAATATGACCGTGGGTGGTAAGTTGCAACTTAACTAAATAAAATATCATTTTAAAGGATGTCCCAGCAAGAATGAAAATTCTAAATTTTAAATAAAACACGGATATTAAAAAATGTGAAACGTTATTATATTGTAAAGTAGACAGAATGAGGTTATGTATAGAGCAAGATATTGTGCAGATGGCTGCCACGGCTTATCTGACATACAAGCGATATTTTATTGAAATTTTTTATGACCGATTTGCCTAAATACGAGGGCGGTTCGGAAACTTCTTTGCCTATCAATGAAAGATAATAGTTAGGGTTTCAAAAATATATTTGTTTTTCAATTTAATCTCCTGATACTTAAATACACTTAGTCCAACGCTTTTCTAGCAATTATATCCCTTGATTAAAATAGTTTTCCTCAAGGTCTTCAAAATATTTGCTTACAACTGTAATCATTTGAGGTAAAACGCTTGCCAGCAGGGAAGCTAAATCAGGAGAATAAGTGGGTGGTCAAACAACTCGTACTTTACTTCGCTGATTTTAGCCATTGTAAAAACTGGATGAAAACTTATTATGTTTATTTGTGTTGTAAGCCAGGGCGTTTTCTTGGAATTTGTACATTTAATTGATGCAATAGTTGCAATAGTGCTCTAAATTTATTATTAACCCTCTTGCAGATAGTCAATCATAAAATCAAATATATATATATATATATATATATATATATATATATATATATATATATATATATATATATATATATATATAATATATTTGAAGTCCCAAAAAGCCGTTGCCATAAACTTACCAGCCGATTGAATTGTTTTTGCCTTCATTGGGGCACTTCCTCCAGCTTCACTCCACTGTTTGGATTGTTCTTTTGTCTCTGGAGTATAATGGTGAATCCATGTCTCATCAACAGTTATGAAACGACGCTTACAATTCGTTTTATTTCGTTTAAAATGATACAAAGAAGCTTGAGAAATGTTCATTCTTATGCGTTTGCATAAATAATCGGGTTGGTCATTTGAGATACCCATGATATTAGCAATTTCATGCACTTTTATTCGTCGATCATTTAATACCATATCATGCACTTTGGCTACATTTTCTGTTGTTGTTGCTGTTTTGGACGTACACTACGTGGTTCATCTTCAATGCTTAAACGACCACGTTTAAATTCAGCAACCCATTTTTATACCATACACCACATAGTGGTAAGGGTATTATATCTTTGTGCATTTGTTTGTAACATGGAGAAGGAAGCGAGATAGACCCATAGTTACTTTTGAGGATCTCCATAGAATCACTTTCTGAGTTGATTTATGCATGTCCATGTATTCTTGTGAACAAAATGCAGGTCACATTTATTATCCGATTGGGATGAAATTTTCCAAACAACATTTGTTTGGCCCAAGGACGAACCCTATTGAAATGTGAGATGATCGGTAAAAATTTAGATCCCATATATATCTTTGTCCGATTTGCCTTTTATTGTGCACCAAACCCGAATAGTATGGAGTTTTGCACATACAACCAAATTAGGCCAAATTTGATCGAAATCGGTTCAGATATAGCTATAGCTCACATATATATTGTTCATCCGATTTGATATTTTTGTCCTCCGCAGCCGTAATATGCACTCTGTAACAACAATATTTAGAAAAATATATCAAATGCAGCTCAGAAATACCTTTGCTAAGTTTTATCGAGATCGGCTCAGATTTGGATATAGCTTCCATATATAACATCGTCCAATTTACCTTTTATTGCGCACCAAACGTCTAATATTTGTCCAAATGGGAAAAATGGGAATTTGGCACTTACGACCAAATTGAGTCTAGAAGCTAGTATGTCAAATTTGGTGAAGATCGGTTCAGATATAGCTATAGCTCCCATATATACTGTTCATCCGATTTGTTATATTTGTTATCCACAGCCGTAATATGCACTCCGTAATAACGATATTCAGGGAAATATATCAAATACAGCTCAGAAATATCTTTGCCAAATTTTATCGAGATCAGTTCAGATTTGGATATAGCTCCCGTATATATCTTTATCTGATTTCAAATTAATTTTGCACCAAATGTTCAATACAAGTCCGAATTTAAAAGATACAAATGCTTCGTTATATTTAGTCCTTTGAACTTTAAATTATAATTATAATCATAGCATGTGTGATTGAATTCTCCCATAAAAACTTTTAATTGTTATGTGGAGCTCTACTAAATTAGCAAAGTCGGCCCCGACCAAATTTAGGACTTTCTTTACTGGTTTTACGGTTGCATATAAAGGAGCACTTTCACCTAACACATTCATCATATCATTATGAATTTATTGCCCCGATAAACCTTTTGTATGTAAATATTTAATGACAGCACGCATTTCTAATTTTTCCCATTTTAAAACAATTAAAAAAATCTGTAAGTTCGGCCGGGCCGTACTTTAAATGCCCTCCACCATTTGGAACGAATTTGGCAATTAAGATCCGTTAAAAATTCTGTTAAACTATTAAAGATAAAAAATGTAGCCGTAAGACCTGCATTTGTCATCAGCCATTACAAGATTCAAATTCGAAACTTAAAAAAAAATCGATGAATAATGTAGTATGGGGGCTATACCAAAATGAGGACCTGCACAGACAATTTTGTGCCTTAGGCTGCAGCATCCATTACAAACTTCAAATACCAAATTTGCAAGAATTCCTGTGAATAATGTCGCTAAATCAACAAAGTACCGAATATCGGGAGGTACCGTTATATGGGGGCTATACGAAGACGTGGCCCTGCGCAGACAATTTTCTGTCATAGGCTGTAGTATCCATTACGAACTTCAAATACCAAATTTGAAAGAATTCTGTTGAATAATGTCGCTAAAATCAACAAATAACCGAATATCCGGAGGTACCGTTATATGGGGGCTATACGAAGACTTGAACCTGCACAGGCAATTTTCTGCCTAGGCTGTATCATCCATTTCGAACATCAAATCTTCAAAAAAAAGAATATCGGGAGGTACCGTTGCATGGAAGCTGTATTAAAACATGGACCGACATGGCCCATTTTCAATACCAAAAGTTCTGCAGACATAGTATACATGGTGGAGGGTATAAAAATTGCGGATGCGTCCTTTTTGAACACCTGTTTCTATATGAAGGAGTTACCAGATCGAAACAAAATTTAACTTGTGTTCATAAAAGAGATGGAAGTTTCCAAAACACTTTACTTTTTTCTGTTTATACCACGCTTTTTGTCCTTGGCTATGAAGTTTCTGAACTGTCCTCGTACTGCGACATTTCATTAATGCAACGTCCAATTTCTTCTTTTAAGGCTTGAGTCTTCGTCGACTTATTCGCGTAAACCATCGACTTGAAAAAAAACCGCAAATAAAAACATCAAAAGGTGTTACATCGCAATATCTAGGCGGCCAATTCAGCTCTGCAAAACACGAAATAACACTACAGGGAAATGCAGATTCAGCAATTGAAACCACATGCCCTTAACCTTTATTTCTTCAGTTCTAGACAAGAAGAAACTGGTTATCACTTCCGATACCAAATATCATTGACTGTTTGCGCCTGACCTGCCTCATTTTCATAAAAATGATTCCTCCAGCCCAAAACCCATACCACACAGTGACATGTTAAGTATGTATTTGCTTCTTGTGAATCTGAATTTTCCGCACCTAAAATGCGACAATTCTGCCTATTGACGAATCCATTGAGATGGAAGTGGGTCTCATCGCAGAAGATGATTTTATAGCAAAAGCAGCATTTTCATGTTGTCTCTCCAATACATAATAAACGAATCCATCCAATCGTGTAGCGCTTCATTTTTATTAAACTCGTACCTAGCAAGCAAGCAATATTAATTGTTCAAATATCAAACAATAATTAAACAAGTAAAAAATCAGTAAGTTCGGCCGCGCCGAACTTTGAATACCCTCCACCATTTGGAATGAATATGGAAATTTTCAAAAAAAAAATAAAAAAAATCGGTTAAAATCTTAAAAATACCGAATATAGCCGTTATATTGGGGTCTATACGTCGTGGATCTACATTGGTATTGTAGTCATAAGACATTACCATATTCAAATTCGAAACTTGAAATAAACGGTGAACAATGTAGCTAAAATCATCAAAATATCGTATATAGGGAAATACCGTTATATCGGAGCCATACGAAGATCTGGACTTGCATAGACAATTTTCTGTCACAGGCAGTAGCATCCATTACGAACTTCAAATACGACATCTCAAATAATTTCGATGAGTATTGTACCTAAAATCGTCAAAATACCGAATATAAGGAGGATGGGGCCTATACGAAGGCCTGGACCTGCATAGACAATTTTCTGTCGAAGATTGTAGTTCCCATTACGAACTCTTAATAGGTAATTTGAAACTACTCAGGTGAATAATGACGTTAAAATCATCAAAGTACCGAATATAGGGAGGTACCGTTATATGGGGTCTATACGAAGACGTGGACCTGCACAGACAACTTTCTGTCTTAGGCTGTAGTATCCATTTTGAACTTCAAATACCAAATTTGAAACAATTCCGGTAAATAATGTCGCTAAAATCAACAAATAACCGAATATCCGGAGGTACCGTTATATGGGGGCTATACGAAGACTTGAACCTGCACAGGCAATTTTCTGCCTAGGCTGTATCATCCATTTCGAACTTCAAATACCAAATTTGAAACAATTCCGATGAATATTGTCGCAAAAATCTTCAAAAAAAAGAATATCGGGAGGTACCGTTGCATGGAAGCTATATTAAAACATGGACCGACATGGCCCATTTTCAATACCAAAAGTTCTGCAGACATAGTATACATGGTGGAGGGTATAAAAATTGCGGATGCGTCCTTTTGAACACCTTTCACCTAACACATTCATCATATCATTATGAATTTATTGCCCCGATAAACCTTTTGTATGTAAATATTTAATGACAGCACGCATTTCTAATTTTTCCCATTTTAAAACAATTAAAAAAATCTGTAAGTTCGGCCGGGCC